GTAGCCACAAAAAGCGACCTTGGGCAATCCACTTTACTCCTCTTGATGACTCAATTTCCTCCTCCATAAATGAAAATAACAACAACTATCTCCTAGGATTGTTGTGAGAAACTAACAAGATAATATATGCAGTTCAGTTCCTGAAACACTTTGAGCACATAGTATATGTTGAGTTAATATTAGCTTGAGTAATATACAGTTCAACAAAATTTCAAACCATTGTGAATTGATTTGACCACAGGCAATGTTCAGAACTCAATGTTATTTGCCAAAACCATAAGTTGTATTTCTAAAAGTGGTTGATCCTTAAATGGCTTCAATGGAATTTTTGCTTTTACCACAGAGCACAAATTGTCCAAGTTGAAGTTTAATACAGGCCAAAAGGAAAACTACTCAACTTTGTAATATGTGAAACTGAGAAATGAGTTTAAGATAAATACTGAATTGATTCAAAGAATAATTAGATGTCATAACTATATATATATATATATATGTGTGTGTGTGTGTGTGTGCATGCACACACACACATGCATACACACATATGTACACACACACATACACAAGCCAGCACAATCTTTCTTCACTTGTACAGGAGGAAAACAATGTAGTAGAACACCCTCTGATGTTACGTAATGTGATCTTATATATGTTACTTAACTGAGCCTCAATTTCCTTAGTCATAAAGTGGATATTTAAGGTATTAGGTCATAGGGATTAAATGAAAACATATATGAAATTCTAGCCCATAATGGCACTTTTTCCAATTACTAGTTTTTCTTTCTTTTTTTTATAGGTAGCTTTTACAGTTGCCATCTAAGATAGAACCAATTGGCTAAATTCCTCAGGAAAGAAGAATTATGAGGTGCTGCTTCATCTAAACATGGTTTCTTTCCAAAATTCTCTGTTGGGGATCCTCTTAGTCATATGGAATCATCCCCTTGGTCACCATCTGTCCTTTCTCCTGGATTTTCATTGCATCAGGAGCACTAGCATCTATGCACGACTGGTCTTGTGAACAGTCCTATTTAGTTTTTGTAAATCCTTTAGTCCTTATGTTCACTATTTGTGCATTTATCCATTAAAAATATTTGTTGTGTACCCACCATGCACAGGCACAGTAGTAGTAGTATCCTTGGAATGGGTATTCTGGATGATAGCTCATAACACTTTTACTTACCCAAAGATTCTCATAGCAGCACAAGATTATAATTAAATTTACTCAACCAAGACATAAATAACTCTCAGTATTACCATTACCTTCTGTGAATGGCAAGGTCAGTTTTTTGCTAAGACATGTTGGGCTTTTCCATGGGTGAGAAGTTCCAATAACCTTAGAATAAGTTACCTTTTTCTACATAGGCCACAAATTTCAGTCCATTGAATCAGAGCCAAGGAAAGATAATATTTCTATGTCTTTTCATGAGACTAGAATTAATCATGTTTTAGCTTCTTTCTTTTTAAAAACAACCATAACAGAACCAAGTTTCTATTCATTATTCACAATCTACCCTTTGTTTTCTTTATCTGGACATGCCAAATTGTGGTCCTTTATGTGTAAGATAGGAGGGCATTCTTAAAGCTCTTTTATCTCTAACTCTGCCATGTTTCAAGGTTCTTTTCTTTAATGCAGTGCTTCTCAACCTTCTGGCCCTTTAAATACAGTTCCTCATGTTGTGACCCAACCATAAAGTTATTTTCGTTGCTTCTTCATAACTGTAATGTTGCTACTGTTATGAATCATAATGTAAATATTTGATATGCAGGATGGTCTTAGGCGACCCCTGTGAAAGGGTCATTTGACTGCCAAAGGGGTCGCGACCCACAGGTTGAGAGCCGCTGATTTAATGCAACGATAATACTGTCTGTATCAATGGACCCTGTTAGTGTGGACATTGTTCCTCACCCTCTATTACTGCTTGGGCTTGGCCACATGTAGTAATTTGTGATGGTTATCACTAATTACTAAGCATTGTTAATTATAGTTTTCTATACTTTGTCCTGCATTCATGCCATGGAGTGCCCTTTGGTGGGATAAAATGTCTTGAAACACTTTCACTTTTGTCTATATTTGATAATAAGAACTAACTTTTCTAGCATGGTGACTCTTGTGAGTTCCTGGGCCTAATTCCCACTATGTATGTTTGTGTGGTGAGGGCAAGGCCTTCCCACACAACACAAAACAATTCTCAAACACCAGCTGGGCATCCTATAATTCAGCTCAATTCTGACACTATCTACCTGAAGATAGCATCAGATTCCACAGGTTGTGGGATCAGTACTACAATACTGCCTCTCCCGAAGTCCAGACACCAGTTGCAAGTCCAGGTAGCAACCTATACTTCTAACCAACTGGCTACAAATTGGAGGTTCCCAGAACCCACTCCTTGACTTTGATTAACTTGCCAGAGTAGCTCATTGAACGCAGAGAAATATTTTACTAACTAGAACACTGGTTTATCATAAAAGGATATAACTCAGGAAGAGATGGATAGGCCAAGGATTGGAAAGGGCACTGAGCTGCCCTCTCCTCATGGATAACTCCCAGCACCTCCACATATTCATCAACCAAAAGGCTCTCCCAGCCCAGGTCTTTTACGTTTTGGTGGAGGCTTCATTAACTAGGCATGATTGACATTGGCCATTGGCAATTGATTCAACCTCCATTCCCTTTCTCCTCCAACTCTGGAAGCTAGTGCAATGGTTTACATCTATGCTGAGCTCAGCAAAGTGATTCCAGGCTGCACTTGAATAATCTCACAGGCCCTCCCCACTCAAATAAGTTCTTTATGGGTGTTTGATTGAATGAATTTATTATTTGCCCAGTGTGTAGTTTTCACCTCAGATCCTCTCACATGATCACAAGTGATTAGACTTGAGATGATTAACGCAAATAGAAATCAGAGTGGACCATGGGGAAACCTTAGGGAAAGTAAAAACAAGTGAGGAGAGGTTGTAAAAGCCATGACTGATAGCCCTCAAAGGCTGGGAGTAGACCATGCCCAGGCTTAGTTTGGCCTACCGATTATCAAAAAAGAAAAAGAAAAGAATTTGTTTCCAAAATTTATAATAAGGCTATTTCACGCAATCATATCTATTTCTGGCTTCCCTTTCAAACTCTGAAGAGCTGACAGCACCGGGGATGTTGACTTGCAGGACAGCAGTGGCTGGAGCTAGGTGGCAGCTTCCCCTTAGTCTATGCACCTGGGTGACCCCCTGTTCCCATCAAGGCTACCTAACTCACCCAAGGTTCTGATCCACCTGAGTAGGACTGGCATCTGTGCTCTGTACCCAAGCTAACAAGTAAGATTTATGAAGAAAAAATCCACAGCCACTTCCTACTGACAACATGCCCTGACAACAAGACATCAGCGTAGTGAGATTCCTGATAGAATTTTTTAGTGGGTGTTTCTAGAAGTGTTTGATCACCAACAAAAGAGTAAACTATGATGCTGGGCCCATTACTTATTGCTTTGATACCTGTGCTGCCTCTGTGATTAAAAGAATTAAAATACTAGGCTATGAATTTTACAAATAGGTCACCTCATTAGAGAAAAATAAAGAGCAACCAAAGGCTTTTATGAACACTTATCTGTATGTTGGAAAAAAATCAGCACGGGCACAGAGCTGTTTGGAGTGAACACAGGTGAGTAGATTTTTACTCTGTGAATTCCTTGTCTGAAGATTTCAAAGTGCCACTCCATTGTCTAAATCAATGACAAACCCATGGAGCCACATTGGTTATTTACATTTCCTAGCAGCCACAGGGGGGGAAAAAACAAAAACCCACAACAGCAAGTGAAATTAATTTTCATAATATATATTATTTAACCCAGCAAATCCAAAAATTGTCATTTCAATGTGTAACCAATTTAAAAATTATTGAGTTAGTTTATAAGTTGTTTTTGTTTTTTACCAAGTGTTTAAGATCCTGTGTGTACTTTACATTACAGTCAGTGTCTTTCATTTCAAACTAGCTACTTTTCTAGTGCTCAAAACCCACATGTGGCCAGGGTTGCTGTACTGAACAATGCATGTGATTAAATCACTTTTTTCCCTTAGACTAACAAACAAGGGTAGATGGATGGATTTCCCACAGAGTTCATAGGGAACTAGGAGACCTTCTGATACATGAACTCTATCTTCTGGGTTCCTTTCTGCCTCCCAGGCACCTTCTCTGCCAAATTCCCTTCTTCCTTTGTCTCTTTTCCCATTACCTAACTGGAGACACTACTGCAGCACAAACATATGGGGTGTAAAGGCAGAAGGAGTGAGCTGGATACCCAGCCTGTCCCTTGCAGGTTTTGACCTTGTAAGTTATGCAACCTCCCTGGTCTCAAATTTCTTTTCCATGAAATAGGATTAATTTCTTCACTGAATTCTGCAGATCAAATAAAATAATAAAGGTAACCTGTCAGCACCAAATAGACACGGAGTTTTCAAGCTTCCAATGATTATTTTTCAAAATTTATATATTTTTGGTGGAAAAGGCAATGGGGGAAAAAGAATTGCAGAAGTAAGAACTTTTCTAAGATATGCGCTAAATCCCATTCCACACTCTATGCCTTCTTCAGTACTTGATGGTTAAAACCCTTCTAGCATGACTTCCAACTAACGCACAGGGAACATAAGTTATACATACATACAAACACACAAGAATAATAAAAATAGTTTCAGTTTTTGCCTGAGTTTGTCCAATGGCACTAAGGCCCAGAAGATGAGGAGGGAACACCTCATGTAGGAATGCACCTGATTACTCTGCAGAATGTCTGAAGCAGAGGCTTCATGCAGTCCAATGCCTCTTAGCATGGCAAGAGTGCCCTCATCTAGAAGACCCACTTTCTCAGCCCATTAGGCTCCCTCACTAAAATACTGCCCTGGACCTCAAGGAGCCTTATCAGACTGAAACCTCTCCAGGTTCTAAAGCCAGCACTACTTCAACATCCCCCGCCCACAGCTCAGTTAATTTGCGGAACCCGTAATAAAAAGAAGGGAAGACTCACCAGTTCATTCTCCTCTCCTTGGTTAAGCAAAGCCCGATGGTCCTTCTGACTTTTCTCCTCCATCTAAACTGGATCTCCTGACTAATTTTCTGGGGAAATGTGAAACCTACAGAGGCTTATATGAACTCTGGAACAGTCACTACAGGTGTTCTCAGGTGCTTAATATCCCTTAGCACATACCTCACCTATTACCTTAACAAAGGAAAGGAAAAAAAAAAAATACTCTCCTCAACCATAGGATTAATCTGTTAATCTCTTTGCTTGTGGTGGAGGTTTTTTTCTTCCTAGTACTTGCTTGCTGAGCTAGATGTGAGTGCCTCCAGACTTAAGCTGCCGAACTAGATAGGTAATTTCCTGGGCTGTCCATAAATGTCTCAGCCAATGAATGGGAATGAACACATTGCTAGAAACCTGAGACAACAGGATTTGAGTAAATAAATAAACATACCATGGATTTTGAAAGAAAGGAATGGGCATATTGGGGGTGACAATGAGAATTGAAGGAAGAGAGGTTGGCTCATACCTGGGAATGTAGAAATCATTATGGAATCAGAAAACTCTGAATTATCATCCCTGCTCTACTGATGGACCTGGACAAATAAGATCTGAATTTTAAGTTTCTTTGTAAAATGTCTAAAATACTTATAGAGTTTATATGATTTTTAAGATATTTATTAAAAGCCAATTATAGGTTCCTTCATACTCAGTGATAGGTCATCATCATTACCAGAATCATAACACTAATAAAAAAGAGACAAGCTTTTAAACAGTAAGCTATAATAATAATTTTATTTCCTTCATTTTCCTTTTTTAGTTTACAAAATTTTTCAATAAGTGAAGTATATGGAGAGAGGAAGAGCTAAGAGGGCTGAATATTGGGGATGTCATCTAAATCCCCACAATTGTATAATCACCATTATATTGGATATTTTGAATTGGATAAGTTCATTAAAAATTAGATATATTTTGATCTACTCAAGGCTTAGTTAATTTGTTCATGATAAACACTTTTGTCATTTTATTGCCTTTTTATTGGATCCAGGCTACTTGACAAAATCATTGTCACTTTGGCCATGGAGCAAAATTTACAAAGAATGAAGACTAGTAGAGAACGATAGTCTTTCCACTGTCTGAGATAGTCCTTGGTTGTCTTATGGGAGAACCAGTGCAAACCTTGAAGTTCAGCAGAGTTCAATGTACTTTCTGGCCCAGAAGAAAGTAGCTGATGAAAATAAACAAATAATTACAGCTTCTCATGCCAAAGAGTCTGAGATACCCATGCTAATGAATAATATGCCATCACAAATGTTGCATTTTTAAGGAACACCAATCTAGAGTTGAATTCCAATTTGGAGCAAAGAGTCATGGATTTTAGTAAAACCTAATGGAAGACTTTAGGGGCAGTCATCATTCTCTTCTTACTGGTCATCTATTCACTCATATTTTTGCTAAAAGAACGCCTACTTTGTCAGGGCAGAATGACTTCAGACAAAAGCACCAAGGATGAATCATGATTTGCTTAAAGTAGGCGTGTGACCCAGTTCTCAACAATAAAATCAAAGGACAAAGGGTGGAGGCCGGAATTGATGAGTGCTGGAGGCTAAGAACAGTAGTTAGCATAATAAATGCTAGAAGTTCCTCAGAGGGCTGATGGACATCTTCAGCAGGGCTGAAGACTTGCATATTATTACCTACTGCCAAACAGCTGAGAACAATTCCCCTAACCCAGTGGCTGGCAAACCAAGGCTCGCAAGCCACATGCAGCTCTTTGGCCCCTTGAGTGTGGCTCTTCCACAAAATACCACGTTCGGGCATGCATGTACAGTGCTATTGAAACTTCGTGGCCCATGAGCAGAAGTCAGTTTTTGGCCTGGGCAAGTCTATGTTGAAGAAGTGGTGTTAGAAGAAGTAGCAGTACGTTCGCTGAGGTCGACCCTTCAGATTGAAGACGCTTTTAGCAAAGCCTGGCTTATGAGTACCCTAATTAAGTTAATAACAAGGTACCTACCTATGAGGTTTAAGTTTAAAAAATTTAGCTCTCAAAAGAAATTTCAATTGTTGTACTGTTGATATTTGGCTCTGTTGACTAATGAGTTTGCCGATCACTGCCCTAACCCGATAATCCTTTATTGTTCACCAAGCCTTACCTTTGATATGTATATCTGCTTGGCTAAAGGGAAAATGTGGTAATAAAAAGTCGTGGGTCTGGAGATTCAGGGAGCCATCCCTCTACATCAGTGGTTCTCAACCTTCCTAATGCTGCGACTCTTTAATACAGTTCCTCATGTTGTGGTGACCCCCAACCATAAAATTATTTTCGTTACTACTTCATAACTGTAATTTTGCTACTGTTATGAATTGTAAATATCTGATATGCAGGATGTATTTTCATTGTTACAAATTGAACATAATAAAAGCATAGTGAGTAATCACAAAAACAATATGTAAATATATATGTGTTTTCCGATGGTCTTAGGCGACCCCTGTGAAAGGGTCATTCGACCCCCAAAGGGGTTGCGACCCACAGGTTGAGAACCGCTGCTCTAGAGGGTGAAGCCTCTGCCTGCTTTCCCCAAATGCCTTCCAAGTTTATATTTCTTGTCTAGTCTCTATTCATTTATGCATAGCCCTTCCCCAGATTCCTGAACCCTAGCTGCGGAAAGACTGTGGCAGATAAGAGAACTTTTTTTCCATCCTTTATACTCTTCCTTTCTTTAAAAGTGATGTGTGAGGAGGCAATGCTTAGAGCATGGCAGCTTTCTTTAGATTATAAAGAGAATGAAAATTGCCATGTTCATGATGATGGACAAAGGAATAAAAGAGCTTAGATTCTGATATCACTGAGCCATGGAACTAAGCCTGTGACACCCTAGCTCCACACACCTTGTTAAAAATATAACTAAATGTTCTTAATAAAGCTACTGTTGTCTGAAACTCCATTCAACTTTTACTTAGCAATTATATGGTCCAGACATTATGTTAGGCTCTTGGGATCAGTGGGAAAGGGGAGTCACTATCCTGAAGGAGTTTACAGTTATTTGGGAGAGAGACAAGGAAATAGTCTCTTAAATAGGAAAGACATTGAACTCAGAATTAATGGGAACAGCTCCCTGAAAGAAGTGATGTCTGTGCTGACCTCTCAAAGATGAGCAGAAGTTAACCAGGTGAAGGAATGGGAGACAGTGGCAGATGGTGGGCACACTCTAGGCCTGAGAACAGAGGAATTTGTGATAAGGTTTAAGAGAGGTGATAAAGTATGGGGGTATTTGAGGTATAAATAGAAATCAAAGTAAGAGTTTAGAATAGAGGGGAAAAGGGAAAGTATTGAGCCATGACATTGGAATATAAACAGAAATGTGCCCAGCCATAAAAAGCTTAAAAACCAAGTCAAAGTAG